TATGTAAACCCTTATCTTTTGTTCTCATGGAGCGATTTTCACCTGATGAGTGTGAGATATATAATTTGGCATGAACGAGAACAAAAAACCTGAGGCGACCTATTGGTAGAACATCACTTGAAAATCAACAACACTTAGCGTGTTGATAGCCATTTGCAACATTCCCAACTATTTGATGGTTGTTTCATCAAAGGATGGACAATTCGCTATCGCTAAATACACTCAGTATAATAACAGTGTGGAACACCTTCAGTGACCTGGCTGTCGAAACAACAGTTTCTATCACTGCATTGCTGTGGTGATATATAAGGATAACCACAGTCAACTCGAGAGGCCTCGGCAACACTGCAGGTTCCTAGGACAAACAAAACAATTCATTATTAAAAAAACGTTGTAATTTATACTAGTTCATATTCTTTTCACGCGATGACATCGCCGCCATGTTGGAAAACAGTAACACCGGGGAGGGGGGTACTCCCTTATATGGGCTATATAGGTATGTGCAACCCCAAAGGATAGGGTTTTTCAGCCGTTTTGGTCATAAATAAGGTATCGGTTTTGGTGATTTTAGCCATTTTTGGTCATAAATAGGGCATGGTTCTTGCCCTCTAGTCTTGAATTGGGTATGTTTCTTAAAGAAGCTTTTTTTTCATTATTATCGATAAGACCATCAAGAAACATCCTTCTTAACTTACGTTTAGGGCAACTTTGCCAGTCGCAACGGTCGTAAATAGGGCATCGAATTTTTGGTCAGGTCATAAATTGGGTAGCAAAACTGGCTGATTTTAGTCATAAATAAGGTAATATAAGGGTTTTGGAAAGTGGGCCCACACCCGCACCCAACTTTTCTAGGAGTATTCCCCCCGCCCCCCACCGTTCGCCCCGGGTAGTAAGAAAAGCTTTTTACGTTTATTAATATTACTAAGAAAATTTCTTTATTGCGATTGGTAGAAAGTAAGCAGAAGTATCAATAATTTCCAGTAATTTAAACTCAGTGCAAATTATGCGTTTGAGTTCGTAATTATCCCAGCCATGTAATAAAAGAGTAATCGATCGTAAGAAAGCTCGAGCAATTAAAGATTTACACTAAGAGTGATATCTGAGAATTCTCTCAAATTTCACTCCTTTATAGGCTTGGCCAATTGTAGGGATAAATTCAGAGTCGCATTCATACCACTTCCTGTACCATTGTAACAGTTTTAGGATAACCTTATAGTCCGTGCATGCCTTTTACAGACCTTTAACGACCCGCGTGCTGTTTTGTACAGTAAAATTTAGAGGTTAATGGAAGTCTACATAAAATGTGCCGTTTCCCATCACCGGACCGAACCAGTGTTAACGTTGTTGTTTTTATTTTTAAAGAACTGTTTCTTATTCATTGCTTGCTCCCATTTCACGAGTCATTCCAAGTCAATCAGCCCTCAAGTAACGACGTTTTATGAACACCTTTTAGAATGATATAATCCGGCGACTAACTTTAACGAGCTGAAGAGAGGACGAAGAGAAATGACAAGCAACCGCGGTCAACATTTCGCGGCTGGGTAACAGTGAACTGTTTCCAGTTTGACGTCATAATTTTTTACCAAAGTTGCCCGCTCGTTGCATTTGGCGGGAAACAGTTTCATTGTTAGATATCACGTGACCATGAACTAGCCAATGAATGGGCGCGCTGTAGCGGGGAAAACGCCAGCTATATAACAATTAACTTTAACATTCCAGCTAAGGAAGGCCTCAAAGGGTTCATTGACGGGACTCTGCGGGCTTTTTTGTAAGGGCTAGGCCAGTACGTTCCTCGAGGACGAAACACCAAGAGGAGCTCGAGGACGTGAACCTTTTTGAAAACACGTTTAGCACTCATGGTAGCTTTAACAGCTAACGCCACTAGATATCGATACATATTAGTACACTAGTATATTCAGGTGAACTATAGTATATAGAACAAGACACCAGTACTAATAGCTTCGTACATTAATATGTATCTTTTGGCTTTCAATTTGAATTTTCGATCGCCCTCCCCAGCTTCTTGGCCAACTGACGATGACCCCCACTGTTATACACATGTATTCAAAACCACCACGTCAGTTATAACAAGAACACTATAACTGTATATATATGCTTAACAGTTAAGTTTGCTTTACTTGAGCAGCAGTCTTGACTGTTGCATAGCTCCTGCTCCTCGCTCGACCCAAGCACGGCACAATCATTGCCTCCATGCTGGGGTGGTGGATTGGTGCAGGAGCGTACCCGAGTACGCAAGCCGCCGCCACATGAGACATTGCACATACCCCACTGTGCCCAGGAACTATATCCCCCATGAACTATATTTCAAGCAAATAAAAAAGGGATAAATATCAGTATGGCATAGTCTGACTTGTTTGTACATATCTATAATAAAACATGAGAAGAAACGTGTGGGCAGATATGGTCGTATATCTACCATCAGAAGTAAAACACCTATATACGAGTCTGCAGAAGCTTTCAGAAAAGTATGGGTTAGCTATAGGTATGTTTGGTTGTTTTTGGGATAATGTATAGTCACCTTGGCGTATTTAAATACCCGAACACGTTATTTTCCAAATAATATCATTTACATTGCCATGTGTAGATTAGGAGAGAGAGTCCCGGAAAGTCTAATCACCCAAGTTGTGGAAACAAACTTCTCGTGAAACTAATTAGATACTTAGATACTACTTTGACACCAACATCAAACAATTATTGGATCAGGTGCGCAAAGTATCCAGCCGATTATCTGAGTTCATAGGATCGACACTGATCTAAGGGTCCACTGGTTTGCAATAAAAAAAGTCGAATTGTTTGCACGATTCCTCTTCATCAATAATAAATTGAAAGCAAATTTCGTACGATGCATCCGCTAACTGTTTTCTCTTTCAAGGGATTTCTTTAAGAGACTTATATCTTACTTGGACAGGGGTTGTTGTTACAGCCTTCACACTCAGAACTCGGTCCCAGTGAAGAGCAGTCGTTTCCGCCATATTGAGGAGGAGGGTTGGTGCAAGTCCGATATCTGAAGCGCTGCCCGTGACCGCATGACACACTGCAGGAATCCCACGAGCCCCAAGAATTGTAGCCGCCGTGAACTAAGGAAAAAGAATTAACGGGAATCATGCTAACGTCACCATAAAGTAAAGCTTCTGGAGTGGGGGGGGGGGTTGGTACTCCCTTGCATGGGATATATAGGTATATATGCGGGTTAGGTTTTACAGTGAACCGTTTTGGTTTGAAAAAGGGTATAGATTCTCACCATTTTGCTCCAAAATATAGGGCATGCTTTTCACTCTCAGCGGATCTACTTTTTCCGTTTCAACTTTGGCAAATTTGTAACCTTCTCGAATGTTTACGGAAATGGAAGCCATTTCAGGTTAGCTGCAGTAATATTTTGGAGCCGTGTACTAATTCTAGTGGTCTGAAATAGGTTATTGACTCAGGTCTGAAAAATGTAAAGCACTTCTCCGAATAACACGCGAATGAAAAACCGCGCAGACCTAAATCTTAGCGAAGTTGTTTATCGTATATGTCAGTCATCTATCATATCCCAGATTCTTTAGTTATTGAGTTTTGTTATTGAATGGTTGCCATCTTTATTTTTGATTGCACGACAATGAAAACCGTGCAGTTTGCAATTTTTAACGTACTTGCTTCGCAACGGACACCACCGTACCCTAGAGGACAGTTGCAGACAAATTTGTTTACAAGATCGCTGCATGTGCCGCCATTAGAACATGGATCGCTGGCGCATTCATCAATATCTGAAAAACAGACAACAGACACCATTCTGATTATTCCTGTACATATTTTCAAAAACGTGTAATATATTTTTTGGCTAAGCCAAAGCCTCGACTCTAGAAGTCTCGCTACGGAGCATCTCTTCCCCTGCCCCTTTTCAATAAGTACGATATAACAATTCCTTTTAAACCATGTTTATCTTAAACTGACCTATTTCACAATGCACCCCTTGAAATCCGGGAACGCAGGAACACTGATAGTCATCTTCTTCATAGATTGCCAAGCATCGTCCACCATTCTTACACGGATTACTGGAACATGGAGTCTGAAAGATTCGATATCCGAAAAGCGGCATCACTTGCGAAAAGAATAAATGCAAAAGCACATGTATATTTTGAACAAGAGAGAGTTTTAGAATTTTTGAGTCCCGTAATTCGAAAACAATCCTACGTCTAAGTAATATATTAAACACTCAACACCGTGTTTGACCACATATACATTTCCAGTTAGCAAAAATTGCCTCAATTACCAGTGGCAACTATATATATTAGAGAGGTTAAATATGAGGTTTACGACAAACGGCAAACGTATACGGCAAAATGAAACTTTTGCCGTCTGTCCTCAGCTGTTTATATAGCAAGGTGTTTGCAGTAAATAGTAGAAGACGTTTTCTTTTAATTATTTTTGTGCGATTTGAATTAGAACTGAAGAACACAAATAAGATATAACAGTGTCCGTTTGCCGTTTGCTGTAAACGTCATTCTTATAGCCTCGATCTTTCAATCATAAAAAAGATAACGTGAAAACCCTAGCTGTGAATACAATAAGCCACGTTCGACATATCAGTGTTCTAGCATGGCTCCGGGGCGTTCAGGACAAAATTGCAATTTTTTTTTTTTTTTTAAAGAGACTTGGATACAAAGAAAACACTACCAAATATAGAATTTTGTCCTGAAGGCCTCGAGCCATATTAGAATATTTCCGTGATGCCTTTTTCTATGTGTACATGTACGTGCTGAGTCGCACGTGAAGCTCACTTCCATATTTGAAAAGGCTGTGCATTTAATTTAAGCAGTGGTGCACTGCTTAACATGCCCCTTGAGAACGGATGGAGATGAAGAGAAAATGAAATCAACGACGGGTCAAGGTCGACCTCGTTCTTTTAGGGAAGCTATAATTAATACTATTGGAGGAACAGCTAGCTAGAATATTATTTTACCTGATGTTGGTGTTGTCGAGGAGAAATATAAATTTCATGGATTTCGCGACGTCCAAATGATTGCAAGAATGTAATTCGATAAACAAACAAAAAAAAAAAAAACAGTGCAACCAAAACCAAACAAAAGTATGCATTTACCTTAATACTAAAGTGATCGAAGTTGGCGTCAGACCCAAACTTGTCCGATTTGGCATACAAATCAGAGGGCAACAGCTCACATGTTAGTTTGCCGTGTAAGTCAGTCTTGGACGCCAAGTTGAAGGAGAAGCAGGATTTCGTATGAGTGCAATCTTGAGCGCATTCCTGACGGTTCCAAAATGCTGTTCTTTTTATAGGAGATACATCTAAACGGTGATGTTGGTGGCTCTTAAAATGTGCGTAAAACACGCCTTTTTCAGGATCTCTCCTCAAACTTTTTGCTTTTTTAACATTGAAGATGGTTTGTCCTGTTAAAATTGGCAAACAAACTGACATCGCCCAAAATATGCGGCCTGTCATCTCGACAGTCGAGTGTGCGACCTCTGGCACTTTTAAAGTCGCTTAAATGTCATGAAAGCCTTATGAAGTCAGTCTTTGTGTGGCAGCAACTTAATTAAGACTTAAGCATGCGTGTTTGGTCAATTTTTAATTATTTATAACTCATATTCCTTTGCTATTCTGACAGGTGGCTGTATTATCCTTTTTCAAGCACCAAACCAACGGTTACAACTCAAGCTGAACTTTTCTCAAATTTTGGAAAGGTTTAATTGTATTTTCTAACTTCTTTCACCTAGGTGAAAAGCTCTTGAAAACGGTTTTTGAAGCTGCTGGACATTTTCCAATCCCTTTACGCATTAACAGGTGCTGTTTATAACTGTGAATTACGTCAGAAATTGATGATTCACATGTCGGAGGTTCCTATCCTAACAGGTATCATAACCTGACCTTAACCAAGGTAAACTTGCTCTTGTGTGATGATACTGGTATTAATTTAAAACAGACAAATTTGTATGCAGTAATTATTTTTCGTTTGCCTTTTATTTTCCGGCCAGGGCCACGCAAAATATATTTACAATTTCTCAATAAGCACGTCTAATTAAAATGGCTAAAGATAATTGTGACAGCTCGTTACGTCAATGGGCAAGGCTGTCAAAAAAAGATTCTTTTTAACATGAACAGGGAAAATTGCATGCGGCTGTGAGAAGCTACTCGAGTAGAATATCCTCAGCGCAGTTTGCCTTTTTGTGAGCATCAGCGTGAACTGAGAAACAACAAAAACATCAATCTCCAATTTTACTTTCTTTAACTTTACTTATTTATTTATATGTTTATTTATTTTGTCCCATCCACCAAATTTCATCCCGGCAAATTAAAGTACTAACAGTTGAACCAATACGACGATAAACTTCATGCAAGTTTACATTTCACAGCAATTGTTATCCACGAATAGCCTCCTCACTTTTCAAGAGTCCTAAATTAATTAAACGGCAGCAATACTTCAAATAGTCAAAACTGCGACCCATGATATTTAATTTTGCTTTTTCAATTGGTTGTTTTGCTCCTATTTTGGGTTTCTGGTTCACAAAAATTATCTTAGCAAACCTCACACCAAGCGAAGTCCCGATTATGTAACGGAACAAGATGCTCTGAATTCTCCACGCTATTGAACGTCTTTGCCTACCGCTTCGTCAACATATACCTAAAGTGCATCTGAAGTGAAAACTGTTTTTAAATTTGTTACGTCAGAATGCTGTCGATATCCAAAACCGACTGTTGTTTGGATAGCATCTGCTTATCAAGAATATCTGGTGACATTTAAATCGATGACGTCACAAGTGGTACAAAGAGCACGACCACTCAGGACGTGTATATACGTCTTTGGGAGTCAAAGGGTTAAATTTGATTAATTAGTTTTTTGTCTGTTTTCATTATATAAATATAAAACACACAGGGGCTGATTAGGAGGTTTGGTTGATAAGGTGGCTCACGTAAACAGGAACAATTAAGCTCGGATATGTTTGGTCTGGAGGCGCGGTGGCTTCATGGTTAGTGCGCTCGTCTCCGGATCGAGCGGTCCGGGATTCGAGCCCTGGCCGGGGACATTGTGTTGTGTTCTTGGGCAAGACACTTTACTCACACTGTGCCTCTCTCCACCCAGGTGTATAAATGGGTACCGGCGAACTTAATATTTAATGCTGAGGGTATCCCTGCGATGGGCTAACAGAAACCGGGATAAGCTCCGGCCTGATGGACCACTTGGCTCGTATGCTGACTTAACTTTACCATGTCTGGGTAGTCATGCGTAGTTGCCTCTTCAAACAATGGACTGCAAGGCTGATTCTACGTGAAAAACATTTCGAGACATCAACATGACAAGAACCGATAAAGTAGGAACGCAACAGTGGACAGCTGTCTCGCCCTTCTTGGGGCTTGTCAGCACTCTGTAGCGAAGATATGTAACGCCAGCCCAACAGCAAACGCACATAAATTGCAAAATGGCCCGTTCACTGCGTTCACTATATCAAGTTCCGTTCTTTGAACTCACTTGCGCCCCGAAACACCGGTTGCTACATCACGCGTTTCGGGGCGCAAGGAGATGAAGTGTCACGATTGGTGTCTCGAAAAGCAAATACAATATAAATGTGGCTGGACAAGGCCAGCCTAAACATTGAAACATTCAACCGCATGGCTAGTACTATACTTTAAAAACGCAGCGTATCGGATCTGAAAAGATCTATGGTCCGAAAATACATAAATGAGAAACCAGAAACTGCAAGGGACCGCAGACGATAAACGCTGCCAACGTATGATCTACAAGGGATCCTACGTTGGCAACGTTTATCGTATGCGGTCCCTTGCAGTTTCTGGTTGCCTCTTCACGCCGGGCAGCAGAGGGCACGAAGTACCTAGTCTCCTTCGCAGCCGTTATTAGGGTCGTCATGCAACGGTGGGGGAGAGGCGTTGCGTGACGACCCTAATCACGGCTGCGAAGGAGACTACGAAGCAACACGCTCGGAAAGACCTTTGGTTCTTTTATCCGATAGAGCTCAAACTTTAGACAATGATTGAACTTGTTATGCGAAACAGTCGTATTGTTTTTGTTTTTTGTTTTTGACAGTCTTTGGCGGGAAAATGACGTCACAGTGCTAAAGGCAAATTTTCATTTCCCTGTTTTGGCACAAAAAGTACGTGATTCCGGAAGAACTCGTTGAGATAAAGTGAAATGCGAAAAAAAAAATATCGAAAAGTTTAATCTGTCTTGAAGATATATAGATATGAATTTTGTAAATGTTCTAAAAAAAGTAACAAAATGGCGGAAAATTTAAACTTCTAAACCTTTGTTTCTTCTATCTTAATTTCAAGCTGTGAATGTTAATCTTAGCTCTCTATTTCTAATTTTGGAAACTTCGTGGTGTTGATTAGAATTGGTTATCTTTATTAAAGTACTTTCAACTCGTGTCTTATTTTAGAAGACAAATTGTCATATTGTAAACACTTGACGTGTAAAGGATGATATATGTAAGCAAGTGCGTTCGTAGAGCTTTTTCGATTACATTGATTACACCGACAATTTTGTAGATTAGTATTGACGAGTGCAGAATAAACTACTGCTGGACCAAGTTTTGTCTCTTCCCAGTTGACGTCCGTAGTGGAGACCATTGAAGTAGATCCTCGTGTACCAGGTAACCGTGACGAGTTTCCGTTCCCGCAAGCTAAGCAGCGCTTTCCAGAGCTAGATTCCCCAGTTGTCATGATCACTCCAAGTGTCCGTTAATTCAGAAATTTACAATGTTTGTTGGAAAAACATATCGTCAAGGCGGGTTTACCTGGAAAAAAAAAAAAAAAAAAAAAACCTATCGCCACAACATCTATTATGATTAATTGACAGCTGTGAAGATAAGGTATCCCCTGACAAGTATCACGTGACCACATCGCGGGGTCAGGTCAAGAAGTTGAAGCTGACCGCTGTTCAGGTACTGAGTTCTCGATTGGATCGCGGGCCCAAGCCAGGTCATTATTCTGTGGGAGAAGGAGGGAGTACCTGCAATGGTAAAATTTTGGCGCAAATTAACCCCTGACCCGTTGTTGACTTTCTCCCGCCGACATATTCCTTGCACAATCGTCCCTTGGAAAGTCCCTGATATATATATTACGTATGCAATTTCTACAATCTTGGGTACACTTGATTATTAGGTACAGTTTGTATAACTAGAATAAAATAGTGAAACCACACGCTGAACAATCACATGCTGACTATTGACCATTTTTTGAGTTTCTGATCTAGGGGGAAAAAAATCCTCTTTTCATTTATGGTTAATTATTGTAGTCAGTTCACAGGAGCTCAGCTTTTAGGTTTGGATAAATTTATATATTAACTGAAATTAAAAATAAATAAATAAATAAATAAATAGATAAATAAATAAAAAATAAATTTGACTGACGGATACGGGGTATTTTGAAGAACTTGTCCGGCTGGACATATAGACACAGCTTATTTTAAACTTGGCTTTGTTAATATGGCGTTTGTTTGAGATTACAGTCTCTTGCTTTTGAGGCTGGAGAGTATATGAATTTTTATTCTTTATATTTTTGAGACCTAGATATCTTATATTTATACTAAAAACTTGTTATAGAGGTTTTGTACGGCAGCCATGTTGCATGGCAGGAACAATAGATTCTTTTTTCTATGGGAAAAAAATGTTCTTTCTAATGCAAAACATTTTCATTGTTCCCGCAATTTACAGATATTCACAAAAACATATCCGGATGACCAAGCATTGGGACCCAGTGCCCCTTAAGTGTCCTCTCGCGCTTTTGTTTGACTGTTGGACTGTGACCAAAGACAACGTTTCTCGGAACAAAACTTAGATTCTTTTGAGTTTCGAGCGAATGTCGAAGCTACTTTAATTAAGGCTAAGCTGTTAGCTTATTATTTATTGCAACACGTTATTGATGCTTGGTGCAGGTAGTCTTTCTTTCAAGGTATAAAATACGGCCGATTGGAAGGTAAGCAATTGGAATTATTAACCAGTGTGCGTGATATTGTTTCAGTTTCACTCGCTAGGTTAAATATTGATGTTCAAGCACGAACACGTTGAAACTGTTTGTAATGGTAGTCCCTTACTTTTTAGTCTGAGAGTCGTTTAAAAAGAAGCCTATTTGTCTACCTTCAGAATATGATAAAGCTTGGCATTCAGCAGGGATGACAAAAGCACGCCCGAACAAAATTTCCGTTTCATTCGTCTCCACAGTTATAGACAGATACAGACTTAAGCCTGTTCTGATAAGTTTAGCTCATAAAGCTTTTAAGATCGAATTTGAGTTAGGCTTATAACAACGTAGCTCATTGTAACATGAAGGTGTCTCAGTTTAACATTTCTGACTTGTGTATGAACCATTTTAGTACTGTTGCCTCTGGGGGTAGGGGTAAAAGGGGATGGGCTTTGAAGTCGGCAGCTATATTTTGCAGGGAGCAGGGCGCAGGTTGCAGGTCGAAATTTAATTATAACTGGAAAACCACTGGCACTAAAAATAATTAATAACCTATATACTTGTCAGGGGTTCTTACATAAAGTAGTTTGCCCCTTTCACATAGTGAAAACACTATTGATCGGCCATAAGTACTTATCGATCGACACGCTGAGACCAGTGAAATCTCTTCAAAGCCATCTGAATGGCTGCTCCACAGATGTTTCCATCAATTCCAGATTTGGCTCAGGTCTTCCCTCAACAACAGAAGATTGCCATCACAAATGAAGCAAATAAATAAAGAAATGAAATAATATAAGATTTTAACCGACGGAGTATACTAGCACATCCTCAGTGTGCTTTCATTTTGGTACTCACAGGGAAGAAACTAAATTCAGTGGATATCTCAGATGATATTTCAGATGTTTCTTCAAAAACAATAATTCATTGCAGGCTCAAAATCACAGGAACATACTCTCCTCCCATCGCTTCGGCTGGTTTGGCACTAATGTAGAAGCCACCTTTCCGAGTGATTGTAAACAGTGTCATGTAACAGTCACAGTACTTAAGTTTACCACCTGTACGTTTCTTTTAAGTGCCAGCGGTTTTCCAGTTATAATTAAATTTCAACCTGCAACCTGTGCCCTGCAAAACATACCTGCCACTTTTAAGTCCTCCAAACTAGACAAACAGATAGATAAGATAGCACTCTTACAACAATGTTCCAAACAAAATCTGCCTTAAAGATCAAACCAGTGTTCTTCTAATTCTTATAAGTTTACTCAAGGCATTTCTTTCTTAATTTTATAAATTATCATTATCAAAGCATGATGCACTGTAGGTGGCTTGTACATGTATGTGGTGCACTATCGGTTAACACTTTTTGTTGTGTTCTTGGGCAATACTATAGTTCCTTGCCACACCCAGAAGTATGGGAGGGTACCTTCAGCAAACAGATAGTTGCTAGGCAATCACGTGTTGACTATAATATTATTTCATCCAATATAAGAAGGGAGGGTAGGGGGCTGAGGAGGGGTATGGCAAGCACACTCCACAGCCCCTTCACGCAATGGAATCCAGAGTTAATTGCCGTAACAATGGACTGTCTAAATTCGAGCCTGTGCCATACCAGGTCTATCATTAAGTTTCAAGTCACCTGTAGCCACGTTCTCCACACCCATAGCAAACTTGTTACTTTTGTGGTTGAATTCTATCAACAACCGGCAATTTCACCCATAGCATCAAGGGAAAATCAAGCATACTCATTGGTAACAGGTGTTACTGTATGGGTTATGGCCCTTAATGACAACCCTGCATACTCACTCCCACCCGTAAGCTTCCCAATTTCAGGAAGTTATTGATAGTTATAGAATGGAATAGAATGGGTTTACCAGACGTTGATCAGCCAAAATAGATAAACCATGTGCGTACACTAATGTACATGTTGGTGTACACGCTAATGTAATACATAAATGTGAAATGGCAGGGTCCTCTGTATAAGTGGTTGTCCAAAACCGACATTAAAAAGAATACAAAGATTTCTTAACTGGTCAACCACCAAGTGTTATAATATATGGTAGAATGTCAAGTTTGTTGTTGTATAGTGAAAGGGTACATAAAATAAATGCTCCAATAATTGTTTTGTCTAGACATTTTGGGCATACATGTTTGTGTACATAAACACTTGCATATTTATTGGGAAAAAGAACTATGCAGCTATACTGATGAAGGGATGAGTAGACATATTGTGCTAATGGGAGAATTTAAAATATTAAGTTTGAGCTCTAGCTTTTACCTTTGCAATATCAGCCTGTCCAGTTAACTTGTTAAATTTAATGTGTCATTCCAATTTAAACGGTCTATCAATATTCACCCCAAGTCAAGCGAGGAAAATGTTCCTAGGGGGTCAGCCCACGGGGGTGAGGTGGAGGTCAAAGTTATTAAACTAAAGGAAGGCATGATGATAAACTGAAATTCTTAGAACTAAGAAGGGTGAAGGAGGCTAAAAGCCAAATAAAAAAAAAAAGAAAACAAAAACAGAAAACAAAAAGAAAAACTTGCATGGAACAGATATTTTATGGAACAACACAATGTTAACAGCATTAACTAGTGTTATCTCGAAGATGGTGGAGTTGCAAATGCAAATACACTCATTTTCAATTTGCACTCCTTTCTTAGAGTAAACCAGATCAACAGTCATGGAGATCGCCCTACCAGGCTCCCACCGAGCAAGACATTATATTACTAAAGTCCTTCCATGTATCGGCCTCTGTGCTGTGGTGAGTATGTTAATGGACGCTTCCATTAGCTAAGGTGAATCCAGCATGAGGGTAAAACACTTGCATTACCTACTGCTTGCACATTTGCAGACAAAGGGGGTGGAGTGAGGTTGGAATAAAGCTTTCTGTGATCCAAAATTAGAGAGGGAGAAGGGAAACAGTTTGGCACTTTTAAAGGCCTATACTTAGGATTGGCCTGGGACCATGGAAGAGAAGGTGTATAGATCAACCTACCCCCATGACCCTATCCATTAGATCTTGCTTATTTACCATTGATACTGGTTTTCAAATCGAGTGTTTGTTCACGCTATACTGCAGTTGGCCATGAAAAGACCTATAATGACAATGTCAAATGATAGTTTAAGATAATTGAATTGGCATTGTCATTTAATCTTACATGTATTTTCATACTTTAAGCTCCATATAATTAATCCACGATTGATTTTAATTCATAGTCCTGCATGTTAGCTTCTAGGTATTTTCATGTTTGGAGCTGGAGTAGGGGTGTTGGTTCATGAAGGATATCATGCTGCAGTTATTTCTGTACCATTTCAGTCAGCATCAAGTTTGCTCATTCCTGCTGGTATCTGTAGTGTTGCGGCTGGCTGTTTGGAAATCTTGGTTACTAGATTCACTGATTCAGCACCATCTCTTGTGCATAAACGCTCATTAGCGGTAATCCTGTTTAACCTACTTTATAGTGAACTGTTCAAATACATATTTATTATTGATTTTGACATGTTTGTCCCAACTGTTTTGATGATTATATTCTGAATTACCACAGTGACTGTACCTATAGCACTTATTACAGTATTTAACTTCAAAAATGTGTGACAGAGTTGGCACAAATTTATTTCTGCTAATGAGAAACCCATACTGTACACTATGCTTTGTTACATGTATGTCAGTTTTGGTTACATATAATTATATGTAGAACTTGATGGGTCAAATCAATGAAATGTAACTTGGGAGGAGAAAAAAAAAAATAGTTTAAATGATTAAAGATTGAAACAACAATGCATGTGTTGTACCAAAGTTATTACTTTTTTTGTGGCATCATGGTTGATGTGCAGTAGTATAGCTTTCATCAAAAACCGGTAGATATCATGCATGTTCAGTGTGTACACAAGATCTTAAAAATTGAAATTATTTTTAATTATTGTGTGCTTTATATTTTCTCCCAATCCAGTTTATTGTGATCCTCTCAGTGGCTTCAGTCCTTACCTTAATTGCTGCAATCTTAGCATTTGTTTACTTTGGAAATGTGAGTTTCTGTCACTGTTAAGAAATATTGATCAATTGACTTTCACTCAAGGCAGTTGAGGAGGCCGATAAATGTGTAATACTGTAGATTCTCGCTTTATCAACTGCTAAATGCTCAAGGGAGGTGCCAGGGTTTGGGATAGCTGATAGCAAATGACTGAGTATGCATAAGAAAGTGATGTGGTTAAAGCCCTGGCTGAAACCATTGTGTTGTGCAGTTGCAGTGGGGGGGGGAGCTCACCTACCCAAAATCTGCCACTGAGTTGTGCTTTTGGGCAGTAAACGCCACTCTCACAGTGCCTCTCACCATGGAGGTGTTTTCCAGTTAAAATGGATACCAGAAATTTAATGCAGCGGTTAACTCTGTGATGTGGTTTTAAACTCCTGGCCATCTGGGGAGGGGGGAGATTGGAAATAGAGGTAAGTGCTGGCAAGACACAGGTCACTAGGCTTTATCTTTCTATCCTTTAATATATAAATTGTAGTTTTGTATCTTCATTGTAATCTTGTATATTGATTTTTGTAATTTACCAATCATTGTACTGTAACATGTAGAGTGTAATTAGACTCCATTTACTATTATTTATTAGATTAATATTCTTTTGCTAATATTAATTATTATTATTAATCAGGTGGGAAATAAAGCAGAGGATGATTTGAGGAGTCAGCTTCAAGAATATGGATTGAAATCTGAGATAAAAATTCTTGATAGAATACAGTCAAAGGTGTGTACTATTTAATTTATAATATTGTACTTTAACCCATTGACTCCCGGAGCGTTTTGCCAAAAACGCAATTTTTGAACATTTAGGAGATTTTCAGGCTTGCAGCCTGGGTATGGGCCAAATTAGCTCCCATCTACTCAAAAAGGTAATTTGCAGCATGACAGCATGCCTTTTTTTCCACTATTAAACTCCTCAAAATTTTTTTTGACCACCCAAGTCATGGGTATTATATGAAACATGCCTGCTCCAAATATCAAGAGTTGGCTGAAAAAGCTTTTTGATTCCCCACTTAAACCAAAAAAACAGAAGGTGTGGCGGATTATTACGAAAGCCGAGGAGGGACTTCCGACTTCTGAGTTTCGACTTCTGAGTTCCGACTTCCGACTTCTGAGTTCCGACTTCCAACTTCCGACTTTCGACTTCTGAGTACCGACTTCTGAGTTCTGAGTTCCGACTTCCGACTCCCGACTTCTTAGTTTCGACTTCAGACTTCCGACTTCTGAATTCCGACTTCCGACTGCTGAGTTCCAACTTCTGACTTTCGACATCCGACTTCTGACATCTGACTTCCAACTTCTGAGTTCCGACTTCTGAGTTCCGACTTCCAACTTCAAAATCGAAATGATAGATTTCCGACGTGAAGCTTGTTTCCCTAGAGATCGGGTTAAACTTAGCCAAATCAGAATCGTATAAACTCTTGTTCTTAGGCCATCGTAGCTTGACTAAGAATGCGTTGGAATACAATGGTTATCACCGCTGTTTGCGTTATATTCTTAACCAAATCAGACTTTGAGTTCCCGGCCAGATTTCAATATTTGTATTATTATGTTTCTGTAAGTTAGTGTTAAGGTATTGCATTTGGGGTCAAATTATTGTCTTATACCAAACAATTAAAATGGACATCAAAAATCCGAAATTTATACCCCTAAGGGAGATGATGAGCATCCTTGTATCTTTCAAAAGGGAGTTCCTCTCCGCCCCAGGCGCTATTTTTGCGGTAATGTCACGCAATACGCAGTTAAGAATTGATATTTCAGATGTTTAAAGGAGTTCAGTAACGCGGTGAGACTATTTACTAAGTTTATTTACTTTGCAATGATATCTGTCAAAATTCAATGGTTCTTCAATGCCGCCCAATGATGAACAGAGCACATAACGGGATATGATATTATTTACATCATAAGGCGACGGATCATTATTTTCTTCTAAGGAAGGGAGTGGGGAGGGGTGGTGGGAATTGTCTGGGGCCCGAAAAAAAAACTTTTCTCACATTTCGGTTGTGCATGATTTTTTGGTGGGCAATAGCTTGTGCAAGAATTTTTTTAACATTACAAAAAAATCACAATGATAGTAGAAACGCTTGCTCGATTTTTACCCCGTGGCTCACCTAGCACGACGTTTTTTTTTCACGGTTTTTGCTGTGCATGAATTTGTTTTGGACATTGCCCACCAGGTTGGCAGGCTAAATGCGACTAAACTGTGTATAAATAATGTAAGCGTCTTTATTATATAAACGTCAGTGGTATACCGAGTGATAACAAATTGATAAAAACGATATGGTATCCTCACATGTGAAGATATCATGTTTGATAACATTTCTCTTTTGCCCCTTTAACTACACTTAAATTTGTTGGTGTATGATCGAAACATCTTCCGATCTTCTTCGGTCGACTTCGGCAATCTTGGCAATTTTCGGTAATCTTCGGAAAATGTTCGGAAATGTTCGGAAAATGCTTGGAAATGTTCGTCTGGCCTTCGGAGCAATTTTGGAAAATCTTCGGAATCTTCGGAAAGTGGTCGGAAATCTTTGAAAAATGGTCAAAAACGGCGTCATCAGTATGTCTATATAATAAAAAGAACATTACACGGTAGCTCGAAGATATGAATTTTATGTTCTTGTAGCGTCCGCCTTTCGGTATGGAATGTAAGTAAGTAAGTAAGTAAGTAAGTAACAACTTTATTTACAGAGGGTAACACATAACAGTAAAAAACTGACGAACCAGTGGCCCTCTATCCTAAGTTAAAAAATTAAAAACTATTTACACTTATAAGATAATAAAAATTACAGTGGAGCGCGAGAACGCAGTAGTACGAGTCATACGTCTAACAATCCAATCCGTTTATTCAGCAACGGTGTTGTGACGACTTAAGGCGTACAAATCATCCGGGTTCAGGACTGTCAAAGACTGTAATGAACCATATTTATAAGTGGCTTCGGGTGAAGTGGCTTCGGGTGAAGCTAAAACTAAACCAGGTTGGTAGCGTTTCAAAACGTTCTCCTTCGCACGAGGAGAAGTCAACTAAAGGTCCCGTATCTAAGCTAAGGTATGACGGGATGCGTCACGCAATCAAAACGACTGAGGAGGCGTTACGGTTCTCGTGGCAAAAACAATATCTATATAGTTCTTGCCACTCGAACATAAAACTCATATCTTCTCGCCACCATGCAATACCTCTGTATATGTAATGGCACTACAAAAGTTGTTAGTTTCAGTTTTTTGCGATCTTTGTTTGCATTTGGCGACGTTTTCGATTCGATACCCGTTGCGTTGCCAACAAGGTTTTGCAAAGCAAAAGTATCTGTTTCTGTTCCCACTTTCTCAGAGAAATTAGATTTTCATAACAAGTAAGTAGATGACCCTCAATGCAGCTTAACACTAACTTACCGAAACATAACTATACAAATATTAAAATCTGGCCCGATTTCCAGGGAAATAAGTTGCAGGTCGGAGATCGATCATTTAAATTTTGAAGTTGGAAGTCGGAAGTCGGAAGTCGGAACTCAGAAGTCGGAAGGCAGAACTCAGAAGTCAGAAGTTGGAAGTTGGAAGTCGAAACTCGGAAGTCGGGAGTCGGAGCTCAGAACTCAGAAGTTGGAACTCCGAAGTCGTAAGTCCCTCCTCGGCTTTCGTAGTACATTACAGGTCATAGGCTACATTCTTATTCTCGGTATTGGATTGGAACTAGCTTGCAACTGAGGCTAATGTAGGGAGCCCTTTGTAATGTAAATGACATTAATCTCTTTTGAATGATATTCCCTCGTGACATTTCAAACTGGTTCCTATGGCATGTTTTATATCTCCTGCTGACTTGGTGTCGCTCCCTCGTGTAGGACGAATGCTGTGGAGTGAATTACTACGCTGATTGGCGAGACACTCCTTATGGAGGTAAAAGAACTTACAAAGTACCAGATAGCTGTTGTAAGAACTATGAATATGCTTGTGGAGACCACTTTGAAATTAGCAGCATCAACCGCAGGGTGAGTTCTACAACAATGTTTGTTTGAATTTTGCACCGATGATTGACCTGCATTTGTAAAGTTGGAATTTATATGCCTTGATTAATGGCACCAGTTAGTAAACATGTATATCCATGCCAGTCAAGTGTGGGGAAGAATGTTTTGTTTATAACTGTCTCTTAGTTATCGCAGAATAATTTCCGAGCAAGCAATTCAGACATGCAACCATCATGGCAGATGTAAATCTGATATTTTCACTTTTGACAAAACATTGCTCATGGAGGCCATATAGCTGTTGTGAGAACTTTGAATATGCAGGAAAAGGCCGAGGGGCTGGGGCACCTGTCCTGAAATCCGGGGTTCGTTGGTCAAGCCTTACTCTGACCAGCTCAGCTGAAGTTGTCTCTTGGTACTCCCGAGAGCAACTCCTCGGTCGTGCTCGTTAATAGCCAATTGGCCTTCCTTCCGCCCGCATGTTTATTTTAATTATTTGTTTCTTTCACTGTAAGTTGCATGGCTGATACCTCACTAGTTGTAGCTTTGTAAGTATATTAACCACTGTAAACATTCAACATTTAACGTTCATTTTTTTTTTGTACTGCAGGGATGCTTGGAAGTCGTTAAGAGCTCCATAAGAAGCCATCTCTTATTTATTGGTATTAGTGGAATCCTTATCGCATTGCCGATCGAGGTTTGTTCTTAAAGCGCTTTTCAGCCGAGTGTCGCAAAACCAAAATCAAAGTAATCACTCTGGCCAATCACAAGCGACCCAAGCAACCTGTGAACCAATCAAAACTTAAAGCAAATTCATACCTGTAGACGTCACAAAGCGCGAAAACGTGAGCGATCGCTTCACGTTTGGCCCTGGTTTACTTCTGATTGGATGACAAAGTACGTTATGTAGTTCCAATCGCTTAACCTAGTGATGAAAAGTCAACGCAAATGCGAATTACTTTCGACGATCAACTAAAAACCGCTCGCAAAATCTTTATCTTTGCATTGCTACTAATCTAACTGAGGCTAGCCATGCAAAATCTTTGCGGCTTTCATTTGACTGTCGAAAGTAATTGGTTTTTAAGTTACTGCACTACACTCTTGATGTAAAGAGCTCGCGCCACTTTTTCATCCAATCAGAAGTAAAACCAAATCCAATAGTGACTCTTTCGTACACTTTTTCCCGTGCTTAACCTCTTCCGGACGTTCACTTAGTTGGGACGAAGCCCGGAAAACGGCGAGAGAAAAAATCGGGCAGAGGCGCGGCGAGAGGAAGCGAAAGAACGCGTTCTTTCGTTTTCTCTTGCCGCGCTTCTCCCCTATTTTTTCGCTCGTCGTTTTTCGCGCTGCGCCCCAACTAACTGAACGCCTGGAAGAGTCTATCCCGCGCTTCACGTCAAGTGCATGTAATTATACTTCGAGTTTTGATTGGTTCACTGTATAGATCGTTTTCACTGTCACGCAATAAAAAGATAAATCGGAACTATGCATGGCAAAATTTAAAAACCAAGTTGGTATGAACGTTGGTTTTTTCTTTCACCGTTTAAAGCGAACAAAAGGGCTTTCCATATCTGATTCTGTTTCCTCGTTACTACGAATTTTTATGTTGTAGCTAAATTTAAGCGCCGTTTTGTTTTCCACAGGTCTTCCTTGTGGCTGCTGTTTGCTATATTCGAAAGAAGCATTTGCAATGAGCAACTCCTGATTCAAAGAATGTCAAGTACTATATCAACAAGGGGCAGTTTTTCTAAGGGTGGACACAAGTGTTATCCACCCTTTGAACAATTGAAACTATATGTATACTAGCGAACTGCAATCCCAAGCTCTCTCTCCTTTGCCTCCCTTGTCTCTCTCAAACACAAGGGAGGCAAAGGAGAAGGAGCCCGGGATCGGGGTAGAATAGCAGTCTCCATCGCTGCCTTTATTGGGGTCGTGACGCTACTTTACTCCGCTGTCTGTGGGGAAAGCGTTGCGTGACCACCGAAGTAACGGCTTCGAAGGTGACCAGATGTAATTGCCATCCTGATTAATTAATGATGTACACGCTCCTCAGTAATCAGCTTATGCGGCTGTGCAGATAAGAAGTTGCACCCTTATATCTAGCCTAGGTGGTCGCCTACGGGAGGTTCGACCGTATACGCATTTTTAAATTTCAAAATAAGTTGATCTTTTGCACCTGCCTGCAAGGATCAAGTCTTAGTATATCGAAATATGCCAACTGGTCAAACTAGTGTTATTGCCTAAGCTTCCACGTAAACACTATTGCAAATAGCACGATAGCATATAAAGTGACGAAATTAAAGTTCACATTAGAATTAGCACTAATATGATGTTTAAATAAGGTAAATATGCATTGGACATAGCTGCCTATTCTCGTAACTTAACTACAAAGCAGTTTTGATGGCTTTTTATGAACAAAGAAATATATATATTACTCGAAGGAATTGGAAAAAATATATATAGAAAAAAAATATAGACCTTTTTATACTGCTGATTTTAAGTTTCGTGGCAGTCTTGTGCATTGCATGGCTTCGAGTGTTACTAATATGCGAGCCAACAAGGCATGCATGCAGCTAGGATCCCTAACCCCAATAAAAGGGCTAAGCGTCAGCTAGCTAAGCTAACTAGAGTGCTATTATATTTAGACTAAACGGAATGTTAGCTAGGCTAATAGGAGTTTTATCGAAGTTAACAAGCCGGCGAGCCATGCGAGCCATGCGAGCCAGTAGTCCCTACCGGCTGTAAGGACAAAGGCAACGGTTTTTTGTTTGTCTGTTTGTTTGTTTTTAGGGGGTGGGGGCGCTACTTAGGCTAATTACCGTTTTCTATCTAGGCTTACCGGAATGGCTTGCATGTTGGCTCGCATGACTTACTGGTTCGCACTTTGTGCAGACGCAAATGACTATGCTTGGCTACTCAAACAAAATACAAAACTGTTTCACATGGTAGTTTGGATGTGTATTCGTGTATGACACTATTCATTTGCAAGGTATTTTTGTGCTGTAAATTTTTTATTCGTAACCTCACATGTATTAGTTACTTGAGTCTCCGTGTGTCATTTAGTATTTATTTGTCCCATCTTTCCTCAGTAGTTCCCGACGTGTCTTTGGGCGGACATTAAAGTTGCCAGTTCTTATAGAGCTATATATGTATAACAGCAGCTTGGCATCAACTTATTTGTGGGAGAAGATCAGATCCTTCCCAGTCATGTTCAGTTGTGCGACAGTTGTTGTTTCTCGTCCATGCTTAGTTGTAGTTTTGTTAAGACAAAGCCATGAGCAATTTCAATAAACTGAGTGAATATTTCAGCCAACTTAAGTATCATTGTTGATGTTTTTGAGATTGATGGCGATACTTTATACGTGCTTAACGTTTCTCATTCACTTCACCTTGTACATTCTTTTCAGTTGCTTGTCACGAATTCTGGGTTAAAAACCGATGACTCATGATTCCTTAACGGCTCTAAGGGACACAATCAACCCGTGAGGCGTGGTAGCAAGACAAATGATGCGAAATGAGCCCTGCCTTGCCTTACACAATAAAAAAGACGCTTGATTAATACTGTGGAAACCAGGTTTAGCTCAGACAGTATGGAACAATTGGCGCGACACAGACTTTACCTTTCGTTGTGATTATGAATTCACAAAAAAATGAAGACATGACACCCCAAAATATTCTAAATCGTAAAATATAGAAGGAAACTTTAAAAGTTATAATCCAAACTAGGTGTTGTAATAAGTTATTCATTTCACATATAATTTGCCACAAAAAGGCACGCCTCGTCGTTGTACATAACATTATTGGGAAAAATGCTAAAAAATAATTTACTCTACCTTCAACAGTTCACTCCAGGCGCATATTTTGAAGAGGCTAAACACACCATTGATATGCTTTAGGGACCTGAGGACGTTTTCCCTACATGCCTCGCGCTCGAATCACTCTGCACCAGGTCCTTCTCACTCTCGTTAAATCCAAGATGGCGGCAAGGAAAGCTTCTGTGCTTCTGAATTGCCTATCATGCTCGAGGCAAAATAATAAGTTTCTTGGAGCTATTACGAGGCATTTAATTTTTTCAAGAGCTGCAATATTTAAACCATCATTGAGGTAAGAGTGTTTATGTTTAGTAACCTGAGTACACAAATGAATTATGATTATTAGGTACGTGTGCCTTAATGTTGAGAGGCTCAGGAAGCTTGCAGATTTGTCATAAACCCTGGTAGTAATTATTTACGAGGAAATATTCGTGTTTTAAACAGTTAAGTACATTTAGTTTTAACTTTCTTTTTTTAACTTTCGAGTAGGTACGTATTTTCTTTGGAGTTTATGGTACAATGTATACTGTAACTGTTTGGATTGGGTTCGATTTGGATTGTTTGAGTTCAGTAATCGAGCATATTTATAAGCTTACATGTAAGCTAAGACTTTTGTGAACCACATTCTTGAAAGGTGAAACATCTTGTTGCAATAACGTAGTGTCAGTGGCTGGGTGTTGAGATTTTATTCAGGTGTAGTAGTCTGGTCCTAAATGAAAAAATCAAGAACGAAAACTACTGTATGTTGCACTAGCCTCCTATGCAGATGCTCTTTGGGCATGATCTCCAGCTGATCTTTACGAACAAAGGGAAAGGAATGTGCTATTTGTTTCAGCAGACGTTTGTGGGGGGAGGAAGATTGCATGACGAGCCCAAAGAGCGTCATTAAATTAAACAAACTACGCGTCTTTTATTTGGCAAAATAAGGACTACATGTACATGTTGGTACTGTATGATCTTAACCACATGCAGTTTTGATTTGTTGCATGCGTGTACCTCTCCATGTTTTGGTCACTGTTGACTGGTTGACGGCAATACTAATATTTACTGTAGGCTTGTGTCAGGAAAACGATTTTCCATACCCAGCTGCTAGACCAAAAATAATTTGTCAGTAGGCAGTAGTATGTGGGAACTATTTTTAAAGATGGCAAACGCATCGAGTCATGTTACTTTTTAATGTAAGTAGAATTGCTGTAATAAAAGCATCTGAAAACAACGTGTTGTCTTGTTATACATGTGTAATGAACAGAATACAAAGTTGCTCTGTGGTGGCAAGGAGTCTGAGCTCAGCAGTTTCAACATTGTAAGTATCACTTGCAATTTTACATTGTACATGTATAAATTAATATATACTCCACATTGTGCCTCCATCAACTTAATACTGCCCAGACGGTTGTTTTCTGCTATCTGGCCAATGACTAGGTAGTATTGTTGAAATCTATTGTTGAATCTATCATATCTTACATGTAGGTATACATGTAGCAACCTCAATTACCCGTGGCTTTAATTTATAGCTTATTACAAACTCAGATTGGAGTCCTAGGGAAAAGGTGACTGTATTTTTGACCTGATTTTTGTAGGTCCTGAAATTGTAAAAAAAAATGTCTCAAATTGTGACTGAATTGTAAACACCACAGCCTGTGTATCTCCAAGAGTCAACGGTGAAAACAAATATTGATTAGTCAGAGCAAAATGTCTTCTCTGTATAAGACTAACTAAAGATGCTTAAATAATATGACTCATTCTTTCTTTGGCATACATGTATGCACAGCTTAAAATGTAGGTACATACATGTATAGAATCCTTCATAGCTCTTGTTACCACACCTACATGTAAAGTCACAGAAGCCAATAAGAGATAACAAAACAGACATAGAGCTGAAGCTAACTGTCATCCAGTGTTAGAGGTTTTCAAGCTGTCACAATGTGCCTATCCAAACTGATGGAAAAATGCAATCTGAAGAGAGTTTTGAAAATAAACCGTAATGTTCTGTCGTAAATGCACATAGAAGAGAATTTAGGAGCAAAGAGATATTGTCATTGGTTTGGTACACTGTTGTTCTGCAGATGAGAGATTTTCTAAGCAACATAACTTTACTTTTGTATGCATTACTTTTGAAAAAAAAAAAATTCTTTTGAAAGGGGGTTTTCTTACAAAACAATTATTCACTTTCTTGAAGATGTTACTGTGGAGCCTCAATTTAACATTTTTTTATTATTATTTTGCCAGTCCCTTGGCCCTTCATTATATCAAGGTTCTACTGTACAAACTCTTGGACTGTGATTTGCAAAAAATGTTATTTTATTGTTCTTTTTTGTTGTTTTGTTTTGTTTTTGTCGGGTTTGAAAAATATTTGGGATTGTCCTTATTGGCTTCCTTTAATACACCTGTAGATGCATTTAGGAGCCTCTTAGAATTTAGCAGAAATTTATCTATAGAGAAAATTAAAGCTTCTTTTCTTTTGTTGAATCAACAGAAGTATTTCACATGCAGATGAAAAGGATGAAGTGACTAAAGCTGCAGATTCTAACTTGAATGAATCTATGTCTGACAATAAAGTAGATGATGTGTAAGTTGACAATGTACATGTAATGTTATCTGACTTAAATGCATGTGCACTATGCCTTTTTTACACTGCATTTCAAATTATAAATAAAATCAGTAAAGTATGCCTCCAAAGCATGCAATCTTTGATCATCAGGCCCAGTTGTTTGATTGATGGACAATACTATTGACCAGGCCCCAGTTGTTCAAAGGCTGGATAATGTTATCCCACGGATACACCATTATCCAGTGGATAGCGTTATTTACCTTTCGAACAACCAGGGCCAGATAAATTGTTATCAACTGGATAAGCCTTAACAAAACCCACTGTTTAGTGAGTGATTTATACCCTGAATAGTGTTATCCACCTATCCAACAACCTGGGCCAGTTGCTGATTTAATTTGCAATGTTTATAACTGCCCTATGAAAAAAACAATATTATAGCTTACCTGTTGTGATGTAAACTATTTTGTAAAACATCACTGATCTGCTTCCCTTCATTCTGTAATGTCACACAACCTCCACATGCAAGTATAGGGTTTACATGCACCAAGTGATCATTTTATGCAAGAGTTAAATTTTCCCAGCAAGGGCCTCAAGGAAGTTTAAGCATACAAGTCATGTAGATTTAAAATTTTGGAAATACCTTCCAAATTGTGCATTAATGTTATCACTCTTAGCATTATGACTGTTGTCTTTTATATTCATAAACAGAGCAGAAGTGCATTCTTCACTTGCTACACTGTAAGTACATGTACCTTGATGCTATTATTGTAGCAATTATTTTTTTTTAATCACGTGATAACCCAATAATTAAGTTATGCAAGGCTGCCCAAAGGTGGAAGTGGGCAGCTTTATTGTTGAAGCACATGTAAATTTTTGTCATCCCTTTCTAAAGAATTAGGGGAATACCATAACAGGGTAGCTGGCCAGGATTGTGAATCAGATAGCAATTTTCAGGCAGCTAGGTAGTTTTGACCACCCTGACAGTGAATATCAATGGCTGCAGTTTTGTGCATCATAGGCTAGTTGATCATTTGTACTCAGAGGCTATTAATGATGATTTGCAGTTTCAGCATACATGTATAACCTGTAAAATGCTTTCTAGTGATCTTTGATCAAGCTATTTTGTTTACAACTAAGATATTAAGAGTGTTTTTTTTTTTTGCCTTTTTTAACACATCAACAGAGACATTTTAGACAAAGATGAAAAGTTGGAAATTCCAAGAGCAGCAGATTCTCACATAACGACATCAGTATTTGACAATGATGTAGTCAAGTAAGTATACTCGATTGTTCTCACATGTACAAATAATAATGCTATTCCAGTCCGATTCCTTTTCTATAATGTAACCTACATTCAAACCAAGAGAATAGACAGATTTGGCTAACATGTTCAGTTACATTGTTGTTGTCACCCAACTCAGACCATGTGATGATTCATTTGGAAGTTACAATTGTGCAATTTGCCACACACAACTGATTGCTTTAATTATTTCCAATATCTTTTAACTGTTTTCAACAACTTTTGCACAGTTTCCATAACACAAAGAAACCTGGAGTGCCTAATTGCAAATCCCATAGATGGAATTCATATCCATCATGGGCTACTCGTACAAATGAAGCATTTATTCTGGTCTGGGTGTCTCAAAAATATGTAACTGATATATTAAATATGCAATTAACGGACAGTCTTTACTTATCCTGAAGATGACCTAGTGCCGAAAACGTTCAGTGAGGTTTTTACTTTTTTTTTTAGCCTTGTAAATAGAAATTAAATTAATTAGTATTTGTATATACATGACGATTGTATATACATGTATAAGCTCTATACCGTTAGCAGCTGAGGACTTGAAAAAACTCCTGTCTGGTCATCTGGGACAAGTACTCTGTAGATTTTCTTGCCAGACAAGGAAGTTCTCATTCTCACTTGTACAATGGGTAAGGGCCCAGGCAAGTCATTGACCAACTAAATAAAAACAAAAAAAATCTAAACTTAAAGACTTAACCCAGGGCAACCAAACTTTGAGAGCTGCTTGTCCGAAGGGAGGTGGGAATCAAAGGTTTTTTTTAGTCCTAATGAGGGTAACTTTGCTGCCCATGCAGCATTTACACAATGTAATAAACTGTTTTTGTTTAACCCAGTAAATTTGTAAACTGCATGATGTGGGATGGCAAGAAGTCTCTGTCACAGAAAATTTTTAAGATGGTAAGTGGAGTATTCTGAATAATTTGTTATTAAACTTTCAAAATTGTATGGAAATCAGGAATCTGAGAGTATACATTGTATTTGTACCTTTATGAAGCACACTGCAGTTGGTACAGAGCACTGGGAGACATGGTAGTGAAATGGGCAGTCCTGGTTCTAACCCTGAGCAGGGTTATTTTGTTGTGTTCTTGGGGAAGATGAGTTTTTCTCTCAGTTCATTGTACACAGCTGCACACCTGTAAATTGTCTTTTGCTACGAAATTGAAGGATGTCTGTCTTGTTCTATTTAAGGCAATGGAGGAAATTAAAAAGGATCAACTTCAGAAGTAAGTCCTATTTTGAATGTCATGCATCTCAAATTATTTCTTGACAGGATCTTCAAAGATCTGGATCAAGATCCTTAAATTAAGGATCTTCATATATTTTCCCCAAAGATCTTGGGGGATCCTCGAAAAGATCTTTAATTTACATGAAAGGATCTATGCGAGGTTTTTCCGAAGATCCTTGAAGATCCCTACCTTTGGGAATCAATATCTACAAGGTTCTCAAAGATCTCGTAAAATCCTCAAATATCCTATATTAAGGTTTTTCACCAAGGATAGGTCATGCCGCTTCAAATATTTTCATTTTCACTGAGAAAATTAAAGTGGTCCGGCCCATACAGAATACCATTTGCTAAATTTGTTATGTGATTTTTTATGAAACTCAATGTTGTTTTATACAGGCAAAGGCAGTCATCTACACCTGACTTAATAGAGACAGATCCACTACAGATTTTCCTTGCTGCAGTTGAGAATTCCAAACCAGTCATAGGGGTCCGTGGCACTAAGAAAGGAGGTAAAGTTTACCAGGTGAGCCACATTGAGTCCCGTTAAGGTGATTCTCTAGTAAAAGAACCCGCCATAGATTTCCGATGAAACTTAGTATGCTGTGCAGGATAAGGAGATATTAAAAACGTAGCCGGTAAAAAGAGGAGGTCACCGTGCTTGTTTTCACGCCACAATACTGATAAATACGGTTATCTAGGTGACTTTTGGTAATCTCCGTGCGCAACAAATATGCTTGATTATTTTTTTAATTGAGCGGGTTATACCACTCAGAGTTTGACTTTCTTTGATTGTTTATTCACCTACAGTACGTCCCAGAAAAAATGTCTTCAAATACCGTGCAATTTTTTTTTTTTATCCTCTAAGGGAAACATAATTTGGAAATGCGCTGTTGGGCCCGTTATGTTTCACTCAGTAGTATTTATTTAATTTGCCAAAAAAGTAGCCATAGATTTCTGCTAATTTTTTTCTCAGTTATTGAGGATATTATTCTCACTGAAATTATGAAATAAAAAGTGGGAGACTCACAGTGCTCGTTCAAGAGAAAAGGAGAATTTACTTCGCTATCGAGCTTAGTTTGAGGGAAATCTCTTACGTTTTGTACGCGTACGCGCTCATGTGCGTGCGCTAGTGACGCAAAAATCGTGCGCAGTAGGGATGCGCAATGCAATACTAAGGAATCACCTTAAGACAGGTGACTTTTGATGCATGCCAATTTTTGTTGCAGTTTGTTGTTGCGAATTTGTCACGCACGTGCTGCAACCAGCTGCATTGTATTCAGAGTGAATTGACCACGATTTTTCGCAAGGCTTGCTTTGAAACGTGATAAAATGAACGGAATCAGAGCATGCCCACTTCTCTTCATCCCCCCGTCTGGACTACCTAATGCTGTAACTGCGGGTTGTGTGAAATCTTTTACATTGTGTATGGAAAAAAATTGTTTTTGTTTAAAGACTGAAGAAAGAAACGAAGAGAAAAGATATCGGTAGTATCCCGATATCACGCTGGAATCACCGCGGCCAAATTGGACTAAAATTGCATCTGATTTGCATGCATGATTTGGAGTTGCAACGCTTGCATGAAACGTTTTGTGGCCACTTTGGTAAAGAGAGGCTAATCACACCGAGCACAGTATAAAACAACTTTTTTTGTGTTTATTTGTGACAAACGGTGTCAAATACTTTGTACGGTAACCCGTCAAAACACGCCGGAACGAAACACCCTGGACAAAACACGTTACCTTTAGAGTACGCCAAAACAAAACAATTCAACATTTCCTGCGAGGAAAGAAGGTAAGCTTATTCCACGTAAAATTCCAATGGCGTTTTGTAGAGAGCATTTGTGGGTGTTTTTGGCCTGTAACCCTTTCTACAACACATTGCCATTTCAATCAACTTCTCTGTGTCTGCCAAGTGTCGGGAAAAAAAAAAAAAGACGATCTGGTGGCCTCGCCATTTGAGTCTCAAAAAATTGAAACCCTGCCGTTCATGTCGTGTTCTGTGGCAAGATACTGCGTCACTTCTACAGTGGTACTTTACAGACGGGTAGAAACCCATTCCATTGCAATGGAATGAGACTGTGTTTGGATATAAGCTGTAAGTCGTTCCGTTATGTAGTAGTTTTGTCCAGTCACTCCAGTCCACTGGGAGAGAGGCTAATCACAACGAGCGCGGTATAAAACAACATTTTTGGTGGTCAGCCCCAGTTCTCTGATTTCCACTGTTCATTCCTGGTTCTCCTCTCCCCAGGTCCCTACGCCTCTTACCCCTCAGCGTCGTCGGTTCCTTGCCATGAAATGGCTGATCACTGCAGCTCGTGAGCAGCAGAAGAACAAAAACAAAAATGCCCGGATGTACAAGAAGCTAGCCAAAGAGTTAATTGATGCTTATAACAATGAGGTAAGAAAGCGCCTTGCTTGGTCTATGAGTAATAACATGTAGGTGGCAAGAATTAAAAGTTATATGTCCGTAATGAATGAGTGCATAGACTCGCATGGTCATTCCGGCAACATTGAACTTATCAAATGTGTTTACTCCAGTTTAACAGTACGAAATTAGTGTAAAACGCAGGTAGAGGTAACAAATTTAAATCAGAGGCCAATGTCCAAATCTACTTTGATTTAGTCTGTGATATCAGTTAGGTCATATTTAAAAGGAAAACAAATGCAATGATGTGAAGAAAATGTTTCATCATATTTTCCACATTCGTTTATTTTCAAAGATCCTTTACTCTAAGACATAATTATACGTTAAGTTTCTTCCTATACGTAGGTTTTTAGAAGAACAGTACCGGCTAGCCCCACTGTGCTACGTAGAGTTTTACGCGTAAATCAATAAATTGATTGGTTATACTTATCAACCCGTGGAGTCAAAAGATGAGTCACCGATGCTTATTGGTTACTGTTGCACTAATACAAACATCACGACTCCGTAGTGAAGTATTACACACAATGGCTATTATTCTTTTTTTTTTTAAGTTGATATCAAAACTCCCCGACAAATGTGTAAAGGTCTTCGTCTGCTTAGTATTATGTCTGTGCCAACGTGTTTGGTACAAAGCAAAACAGAGCTGTTGTTACCATAATTGCTACTAATCTCGTAATCTGATTGGCTAATTTGCCGTTGTCGATAAGATTCCAGACAACGCTGCTCGCGTCAATGTTTCACGCAATGCCTTTTTCAGCTCGCGCTCTGAAAAAAAAAATAAATCGAATGTGGTTTAGCGTTGTCTGACCACTGTGATGACGCATATCGTTGTCGATAAAAGTACAGACAACACTAAACCACATTAGATTTGTTAGTTTTCAGTTTGCGTAAAATAAATTGCAGAGGCATTAATGTCTGTAAAGTTTGCAATTTTCTCTAAGCTGCCAGCCATAATAGTTCACTGGAATTTGCATCAGCTTCTTAAACCTCCATTTTAAATCTGAAAAAAAAAAAATGGAAAAAAAAAATTAATGTGGAAAACGTATACTAAGAGTCCTGTATGAAGGGAATTAAGGGTCACCGTAGTAAGGTATCTAATTGGTGTTTACTTTCCTAACTAATTCAGGGTACCGTTATAAAAAAGAAGCAGGAACTTCACAAAAGAGCGGAAGACAACAGAGCATACGCGCATTTTCGCTGGTGGTAGGCAACTGTGAGTTCCCTTACCAGTCTCACAAGGGATTGCGAAAAGGAAAGGAATCCTCTTCTTGGAATGTCCAATAATCTTTAAAGCCATCCCTTTTCCAAGTCCAATTCGCCGCTCTGTCATCCGTTATTTCAAGCGCTTGGATCACATCTTGCACGATCTGCATTTGGTTGAGAATTTCCATATAAGATGGTCATACAATGTGTAAAGTAAGGGCAAAACACACACAGGGAAGAGGGAAAACCAAAGGGAAGAGTAATGACGGAGTAACTCTTTACTGTTAAACATTTCTTATTCTAATTCTGATAGCACATTACATGACGCATCTATAATTCAGCAACCGAGGATCATTCTGGGCCAATAATCACAAGCCCTTGCAAAGGCTCGCGGGTGAGGTATAGGTCCAAAACAATCTCCGGCTGGCGCAAGGAAAGCAAAATCTGCTGACGAGGATCTCTGAGGGAAGCTTCTGGGAGAACGAGTTCGGCTTGTATGGCTATCGACCAAGGCCTCAATTTCCGTGGCCTGTTCCTAGTATTCGTTTGGTTCGGAACGAAGGAAAACGCGAGAGGGGACTAAGCCGATAATCGTTTTTCCCTTCGTACGCACCCAATCATTTGAGATCCTGATCTAGGCTATGATTTGCGGCGCTCTCTCGAGTGACTGGAAACTTGAGGCTACCTAGTACTTCTAAAGGGGACCTGGTTTTAGAAGTGATCCTCATACATACATACATAGACAGTTGGTGCCAGAATAAAGTCAGAGGTAGTCGTTGGATATGACTGAATGCCCATGCTGTTTTGTCTGATTTTCTCAGATGTTCGTTGCAGAAAAGGGACTGTTAATTTGACAATAGGGTCAGCTGATAAGGAAATCAGACAACAAAGCTCTTTTTTTCCTTCGATTTTTTTAATGTGTTTGCCATTTTTGTTAGAAGTATAGAGCTCCTCTGGGTCAAAAAAAGAAAATCATTAACTTAAGCGTGTTTGCATAACCTAACATACTTGTAATACTGCTGAATATTAACGGGTCGCGAGTAACCCTTGTTCCACAAAATAAAGAATACATGTTGCGAAAATAGTTTATTGAAAATTTTAACTTACAACCGTTCTCTTTGACTGTTTATCGAATTTTCGCCTTGTGGTGCACCCCTTTGTTTCGTACTTACCAAGTTTTCATTTTGACGCAATCTTTCCATTATTGGATTACAGACGCAAAGCAAAGAATTGTATTTCTGAGTTATGAATATCTCGGTTGAGACTTGCTATTAGCTGTCTGGGAGGGAAGGGGGGTGGGGATTTGTAGATGGTCTCTGACCACATTCAGAGGGTTCGCAAAATCTCTGTCAGTGATCTTTTTTTTTTAATTTTTGTGCTAAAGTCGTTTGAGTCTGGATGGCGATATCTTTCCTATTCCGACACTGTAACAGCTCAGGCAGGTAAAGGCGTCTTCGTTACAGAAGTCCCAAAATGTCATATTTCGCTTTCCTATCCCCAATCCTCCTTACATGCAAAAATCTAACTGCGGAAATAGGAAAACGAGCGGTTTCTCGCGAATAGACCACTTTCGATATATTAAAATTCAGCTCGGCAGCGAGGCCTAGAGGACACAGACAAAGGAAATTGAATGACCATGTTTATTTATTTCTTTTGTTTGTGTCCTCTAAAGGCCTCGCTATCAAGCTGAATTTTAATGTATCGAAAGTGGTCCATTGACTGACATTCGAAGTTCGAATAAAGATCCCGTTGAGTGTTATTTCCAACTGATGTAGGTGTATAAGATGACCGTCAAATTAAGTAAAAGGGGAAAAAAAAAAAGGAAACCTAAAAATAGTAATTTACTGAGAAAGAAAACCAGTAATGAGGTATTAAAAAAGAACAAATTAAAAAAAAAAAAACATAAAGGAAGAAGGATGGATAAGATTGGGGAAGATTACGATGGATTGTGAAAGATGAACTTGAAAGATGAGTCATACATGCATCATAGGTTCATAGAGGACCCTAGGGCAAAATTCCACTTCTTGTGACCTTGGATATCTTGTGGTTTCATAAAGCACGGTACTCGGCGCAATTACTAAACATTACTAAATGGCATGGTAAGGCATTGACCAATCAACTGACGGGTGAGCACACGCGTAAGCATGTATGAATAACATTTCTCGGAATTGGGCGCGTTATTTTCCTGTCGGGAGTTTTCTTAAAAAACTTCATTTCGCTATGGTCTGTTCCAGATTGTGTCTCACGCGAGTGGAGTCTTAGAAATAGAATTGAAACTCTCTTTTGGTAAGAAAAAAAGACTCGCATGAAACAAAACCCGCTCATGGGAAGCTTCACATGACATGCATGAGGTAACAAACACCCGCTGCATGTATAATGTATTATCCCTATTATTTCCCCGAATCGCCAAATTTCAGTTTTGTTTTTCATTTCGTTTGTAATACAGCGTCTGATACTGACGAAACCGCTAGGCGAGGGCAAGGTATAAATCAGACATCAACCGCTCATTTAACACACTAAGTATGATCCATGGCCATTATTCAAGCATAGTGATCTGGTTTTTGAAATGGCACGATCTGTTGATTGCTCCAATAAATGTTTCAAAATTCCTATCGTAGTCTATCAAAAAAGACAGACATTCTGTTTTCTCGGTACGTGTTTTAAAAGCAAACACCGCCACAATAAGACCTACATATGACCGTCAACCAGTGATCGCTGTACTAGGCTGAATCACGACTGTTAACTGATCGCAGTACTTGTCTACTGCGTACTGGTTGCTCGAGATAACAGTCTTTATAGTGAGGTACCTTTTGGTGGCCATTTGAACAAACTAATTGGTTGCTCTGAGAACATGGCTGAAGATGTCCTCAGAAATAAGCCCTAAAATATAAAAAATAAATGTAAAGTAAGTAAAGGTTATTTGGGAGATGTTTGTCTTACCGAAGTCAAGTGTTGTCAATTTACCTAAATAACATCGTATCATAACCATGTTACGTTAGGTGTTACCTACTGGCTTGCTTATTTCTGCATTTTTTGACGTACATCATTTCATGCTTCTTACTCAAGAAAAGGCTCGAATATGATACTATATATTATAGCACAATGTTTACCTGGCTTCTAGTGTGTTTATGGCCAAGCGAACCTCATGCATCCCACATCACGCCATTCCTGCACAGTAGCCGTCAGCATCCGCGAAGACTTAACGAATCTCTCACCAACCAACCTAAAATCACTTGGATATATTAGACAAAATCTATGAATCCAGTGCATGCATT